CCTCGGCCTCCCAGAGTGCTAGGATTACAGGCGTGAGATACCATGCCTGGCCCCAGATTTTTGTTTTTACTTTAAATCTGGTTCTTTGGCCTGAAATATAAATACGGTCATACTGTAACTCCATTGCTCTACAAAAATCATTTCCTACTTAAAACTCTTCAATGGCTTCCACTTGCAATTAGAACGAAACCCAATCTTGTTTCTGTGTCTTCCTAGGCCCTGCAGGATTGGGCCCTCGCTCCTTTTCCAGTTCTATGCTAGGCTCCTCCATGCACAGTAGATTTCCCCCAGCACCATGGACTCTACTCAGTTCCAGTAGACAAGCTTCCTTTACATAGCCTTTCCCTCTGCCTTAAACAATTCACCACCCAAGTCTTTCTCACATTCCTGGCTCCTTCTTTTCCTTCAAACGGGCCTTCCCTGAGCACTCTGGTACTCTGGTTTTTTCTTTTCTCTTTTTTTTTTGGAGACAGGGTCTTGCTCTATCACCAGCGCTAGAGTGCAGTGGCATCATCATAGCTCAATGTAGCCTCAAACTCCTGGGCTCAAGTGATTCTCCTGCCCTCACCACCAGGCCCGCCTAATTTTTAATTTTTTTAAGGGACGGGAGTCTCACTATTTGGCTGAGGCTGGTCTCGAATTTCTGGCCTCAAGTGATCTTCCTGCCTAGCCCTCCAAAGTGCTGGGATTACAGGCCTGCACCATCTTGCCCGGCCCACTCTGGTTTTTAAAGCCATCCTGATATTTGCTATCCCAGAATTCTTTTCATAACCTTTATAACATGTTTCCCCTTGAAACGTGATGAAGTGTTTGTTTACTGCATCTCTTCTCCCACTAGACTGCAACTCCCTGATGCAGACTTTTCGTTTCTCTTACCACTGTGCCCCCTCTGCTTGAGTTTCAGTGAATGTTTGTTGACTGACTGACTGAATACAATGGAAGAATTGGAGGTATGAAATAAAGCTGTAAAATTGGTTAGTAAAAGGGACGAACGCTTATGCTGTGCAATTTAGGAAAGCTGACTTGAAACCGGAGGGATTTTTAGGCTCCTATTTCTTCCCTCATTTGTCCACGGAGTAATATCTGAAACTTATGGCCTGGAGCAGTGGCTCACACCTGTGATCCTAGCACTTTGAGAGGCCTAGGCAGGAGGATCACTTGAGGCCAGAAGTTCAAGACCAGGCTGGGCAATAGGGAGAGCTCCATCTGTACAATAACAAAAAAATTAGCCAGGTATGGCGTGGTAACATGCCCCTGTAGTAGCAGCTACTGGGGAGGCTGAGGTTGGGAGGATCACAGGATCACTTGAACCCAGGAGTTTGAGGTTGCAGTGAACTATGATAACGCCACTGCACTCTAGCCCCGGCAACAGAGCAAGACCCTCTCAAGAAAACAAAAAATTATTGAGTACTTTCACGCACTACGCTAAGCACTCCACGTGTACTATAGAATTTCTTCCGCTGACCAACCCTGCAGAAGTAATCAACCTTTATTATCCTCATTTGCCAACAGCCATTAATGGTGGAGCCATAGTCAGGTTCAAATAGGCCATATCCAATTAATCCACAGTAATCGACACCTCTTCAATCAACAATAGGTACTGTATTAATATACTTTCGGAGAAACCCCCTAAATTCCCTGTTCACCTGACCTATCTTGGGACCGAAACCTACCCGGCAGTTGCTAACTCTTCAGGGGGTTTCCCGGAGCATCTGAGCGCCCTCGGTGGAGGAGGAGCAGCTGCTCCAACCACGCGCCGAGCTGGCGGTCTCAAGACTCCCAGGAGTGCGGGGGAGGAAGGAATAGGTCCCTGCGCCTCAGGGTGCTGCGAGGGGAAGGGACTCTATGCCTCGCCCACGCCCGCCTGGGGTTCGGGATCTCCCCACCAGAGACGGAACCACGGTGCGTTTCCCCAACTACAAGGCGCCTCACGAGCTAGGGCGGCTTAGCCCCGCCCATCTTCTCCGCCTCTTGTCGGGTCTGGCGCTAGGACCCCACGACCCTCGACCCGGCCCTCTCCCCGCCCCTCCGGGCCAGACCCAGCCCGCGATTGGCGATCCTGGGCGCCTTTCCCGCCCTCGCTCCTTCCGTCACTGCCAAAATGGCGCCCGTCGCGGCTGCCGCGGCGGCTGGAGCCGGAGAAAGAGGCGGAGGCAGCCGCGGTCGCGAGGGGAGGGGGAGTCCCGTCTGACTGAGACGGCAGGCCTGGGCGGGCGGGGGTGCCGCGCAGGGCGGAGCGCTGGGTTGGGGATGAGCTAAGCGGGCTCAGAGCGCCGCGGCATTCAGCCCCTCGTGTCCCGCTGCTGCGCGTGAGGGGATCCGGCGCCGTTCTTCAAGCTAGACCCGCTGCTCGCGCGGGAGCCAGCGGCGAGGTGAGTGCGGGGGCAGCGACGCAGACAGTGGTGGCAGGTGGAGCTGTCACCCGGGGAGGTGACAGCCGGGGGCGCGGGAGTGGGGCGGCCGGGCTCTGGGAGGAGGCACGGATGGCCACGACCTCCGCCTGCGGGCTTCTTAAGAGCTGGGCCGTCCTCCGCGGGCTCGGTCCGCCCCGGGATGGCGCGGCGGTGCTGAGAGTAGCACCCGCGCCTCTGCGTCGGGTGCGTGGGGGGCTCCTGTGTTTTCATTCCAGATTTTCTATTCCGGGCCGGCCTGGGGCTGTTGTTGTTTGGAGGTGGGGGCGGGGAGGGGGGAGGTCCTGGAGCTGGGATTTTTGACAAGCCCGTTACGTAAGTCGGAGGTGGCTTCCCGGAATCCCACCTGCTCGGTATTTTAAACGAGCGGCGGGGGGAGCCTGGGGAGCCCGGAGGCCGGCTTTTCCTCCCCGGGTCTGCCCAGTCTTCCCTGGCCCGCGGGCGCCGGTTCCGCGTGAGCCCGGCCAGCGTCCAAGTTGGCCAATTTTTCCAGTCTTTTTCTTTTTTTTTTGTGGTGGTGGTGGGGGGGGCAGGATTCCCAGTTACCTCTGAAATTTATCGCATTCTAGGGGGAGGAGAAAAAAAGAAAAAAAGCTTGTGACCTCAAATTGGGTCGCAGTGACAGCTTTTCATTATCGTGCTTTAAGTGACACATGTGCTGGAAGATTTTTGTTGTTCCAGTGTGCTTTCAATTCAAACGTATGGTTACGCCTGGAGCCTTAGAGAGAGGTTTTTGTCTTACAGGACAGTTATTTCTTGTTTGCAACAACAGGACATCAGTCAACAGGCATGTATTTATTTGAGGAGAAAACGCGTGTCAGCCAGCTAGAGACCGGTGAGGGCAGAAATTGTATTGCTCCGTGAATATGTTATTCTTTAAAATGTGTTATACGTTAACGAAAAGAATAGCTCAAGTGTAAAAGAAGCAGTCTTACAAGATTGCAAGCTGTTATTTGGTGTGCATATAGTCTCATTCTGTTTTTAGTCTGTCTCCTCTCCTTGGGGGAAGGAGGCATAGACACTTGTAAACAGCGTAGCCCAGGTTACACTAATCTATTGGAGTACATTTGAGATTATTGTAAGAAGTATTCTCTGAGGGATCTAAGATTGAGTAATAAGGACTCTTGGGCAAGTTATTCAGTTTATGTTGATAGTAGTTCTGGGATTCAGCTTCTGAAAACTTAAGTATACAGAATTTCTGAGCTATTTGAACCCTGTTTGAACTTATAATAAAAGATTACATTTGGCTTCTTTTATGAGAACTTTGTTTTGGATAGAATTAAACATTTTGCGCAATTTTTACTTCATTTTCACAATTTCCCTTTGAACTACAGCTCTCAGCAGGAGTCCAGAATAGCATATGTTATCATCATCATTATATATAATATGTTACATAATTTTCTTTTTCTGAATGATTAAACATAGACCTACTTCACTGTGGAATGTTACAAGAATGTACTTGTTAGGAAAGTTAATTGATCTTGATAACAGCCTAATAATATGAATAAATATGAGTAAATTTTGGACTGAGTTTTAAACTTACGTACACAAATTTATATTTTTTAAAATTAGTGAAGCAATATGAATTTTTGTTTGTGCAGGAGAGCCAGGAAGCTGATGTTGATTTGTTCTGAACTTTTCCACGTGAATTACCACTGGTTTAAATAGTTATTGATTCTTGAGTTCCTGGAACTGTTGTCCTATTTCTGGCAACTTGAATAATATTTAGTATAATTGGGAGGCTATAAGAAGGAAGGAATAGAGTATACATTTATTAATTCATTCAAAAAATAATAAAAATTATGGCAGAGTTGCAAAAGAAAACTTATTTTCCCATTGAGTGATATTAGTTACATTATCTTTTCTTGTTTGCAGAATTTTTCTAAGCATTCTATGTACTATGAAAACCTAGTGTAGGCCGGGCGCCGTGGCTCACGCCTGTAATGCTAGCAGTCTGGGAGGCCGAGGAGGGAGGATTGCTTGAGCTCAGGAGTTCAAGACCAGCTTGAGCAAGGACCCTGTCTCTACTAAAAATAGAAAAATTAACTGGGTATTGTGCTGGGGGCCTGTAGTCCTAGCTACTTGGGAGGCTGAGGTGGGAGGATTGCTTGAACCCAGGAGTTTGAGGTTGCAGTGAGCTACTATGATGCCACTGCAGTCTAGCCGTGGCGATAGTGTGAGACTCTGTCTCAAAAAAAAAAAAAACCTAGTTTAAGCACTGATGCAGATAGAGATGTATGGTATAAATATAAATCTTGTGCTATTGCTATTTAAATTGATGGTACGTTATTCTAAGTGGAAAACAAAAATGGCTAGCAGGAAAATTGACTTGCTATTCTTTGCCTTCTCTGATGTCAGAAACTTATCTTTGTGGGACTTTCCTCTTTTCTTCAGAGATGGAAGAAGAGAATGACTGAAGAAAAATTGATAAATTTTTCTTCCTTTCTTGCTTATTTTTTTAATACCCTGGATTGATTATTTATTATTCAGAAGAATTTGTGGAAGGATGGTGGGGGTGGGGGGAGTCAAGCACTCCACACTTTATGACTGTGTATCATAATTATCATCACTTTGAATTCTAGAAGAGCAGTGTAGAACTTTACATTGAAGAAATGATTAATTTATATAGTATGTTATTATAATAATGAAAAAATGTATTTTTTTGAGACAGGGTCTCTGTCACCCAGACTGGAGTACAGTGGCCCCATTATAGCTCACTTTAACCTTAAATTACTGAGCGCAAGTGATCCTCCCACCTCAGCCTCCCGAGTAGCTTAGACCACAGGCACACACCACCATGCCCTGTTAATTTTTAATTTTTTAGAAAAAGACAGAGTCTTGTTATATTGCCCAGGCTGGTCTTGAATTCCTAGCCTCAAGTGATCCTCCTGCCTTGGCCTCCCAAAGTGCTGGCATTCCAGGCATAAGCCACCCAGCCCAGCCTTAGTGAAAAAATTTTAATGGTCAAAATGCCTTATGGGAATAGCAAAATTGATGATAATCCATGTGATGGATGCAGCTGTCAAAATAATATTTTCAAAAAATATTTACTTGCTGGGCACAGTGGCTCACGCCTGTAATCCCAGCACTCTGGGAGGCTGAGGTGGGAGGATTGCTTGAGGTCAGGAGTTCGAGACCAGCTTGAGCAAGAGTGAGACCTGGTCTCTACCAAAAATAGAAAAAATAGACAGGCGTGATGGCATGAGCCTGTAGTCCCAGCTACTGGGGAGGCTGAGGCAGGAGGATTGCTTGAGCTCAGGAGTTTGAGGTCACTGTGAACTAGGCTGATGCCACTGTACTCTATGTGGGGCAATGGAGCAATACTCTGTCTCAAAAAAAGAAAAAATTACATAAAGTACAATATAATGTTGAGAGAAAAATCTGACTATAAAGAAATGTATACTGTGTTATTAGTTATCACATGTATAAATGGCAAAAAGATTGATAGAAATTACATAAAATATTAACAGATGTTATCTCTGGATGATAGGATTATGGCTGGTTTTTATTTTAGTGTTTATACTTCTCTCTGTTCTCACTCTGAACAATTATTGCTTTTATTATCACAAAAATGACAAAATATTTTTAAGGGTCACAGGAGAAAATACTGAAAATCTCACATAACCATTGCTCCAACAGAGAAACCGTCTTAGGATTCATTGTTAGCAAAACCAACCTAAAATATGGTGCTCGTGGAAACAGCTGCTAATTTAGGTGAAGGTATTCTCTTAATTACTAGCACCAACCTTATAATAGTTTTTACACATGTACATTTTTGTGTCAATGTGCATTGCTTCTTTGCAGCCTCTCTTCTGTTTGCTTCCTATGCCAAAACTTCATCAGTCAATAGGCAGTGGTCTTTGAATGTTTATGTGATGCCAGGTAACTGAGAATACAAAGGTAAATGAAACATGATTTCTGCTCTCAAACTGTGGCTGAGAATGCAGTTCTTTTTCTTTTTGGACCATCATTGTATATTGTGTACTGTGCTTTTCCTGTTTTACTTCTGATAGCCTGGCAATTCAGGAAGTATCTTTTTCCTGGTGCTCACATCTTTTTGTGACTTTCTCAATGGTAAATATATTTTGAGTTCCAGACAACCAATTTACAAATAAATTTTTGGAACATTACTTGATTATAGGGTAGGGAATCTTATATTCAGAAAGGCTGCATATATGTTTATCTCTGGCTGTTATTATTTTTAAAATGTGACACTTTCTTGGTTCCTTCTTTTTGCTTCCTTTTGTAAAAATCACAAGTAGAAAGCAAGAGAGACAAGACAGGCTATTAAGAAAAAAAGAGGGCCGGGCGCGGTGGCTCACGCCTGTAATCCTAGCACTCTGGGAGGCCGAGGCCGAGGCCGATGGATTGCTCAAGGTCAGGAGTTCGAGACCAGCCTGAGCAAGAGCGAGACCCCGTCTCTACTAAAAAATAGAAAGAAATGATCTGGACAACTAAAAATGCATATATATAGAAAAAATTAGCCAGGCATGGTGGCACATGCCTGTAGTCCCAGCTATTCGGGAGGCTGAGGCAGAAGGATTGCTTGAGCCCAGGAGTTTGAGGTTGCTGTGAGCTAGGCTGACGCCATGGCACTCTAGGCTAGGCGAGAGAGTGAGACTCTGTCTCGAAAAAAAAAGAAAAAAGGAGGTAGAAAGATATTAAGGGAGTTTTTCTGCTAGTGCTGTACTTGATTTTCACTGAAAATAGTGAGTCATCAAAATGTATAGTAGGAGATACTGTTTCTGGTACACTTTGCTAAAACCTCTCTCTCTCTCTCTTTTTAATTTCACAATATTAAGGGGGTACAAATGTTTTTGTTACATGGATATCTTGTATAATGCTTCAGTCAGTGCTTTTAGTGTGCCTGTCACCAGAATAGTGTTCATTGTACCCAATAGATAAGTTGTTAATGCCTCACTTCTTGCCCTCCCCCCTTCTTGGTTTCCTATGTCCTTTAT